TTGGTTCAGAATCAAACCTTTGATCTTCACCGGCGTAAGATCAATATCGGGTACACGCAGAGCTGCGTAGTAGATTATATTAGCTCCTGCGCTACTACCCATCAAGAAAACCCTAGAAAAATCGGCCAAATCTTTCAGCCACGGATCACAACCGTTGATTCCCAATGCCTGGTCTCGGACCCACGTGATAGCTTCGACGGCGTCATCGTACGCCGCGGGAAGGCGGTGTTCAGGAGCGAGACGGTACTCGACGGAGAGGATCAGAGCTGGGAACTGAGCTGCCATGGCGTTGCATGATTCGTGAAAGGGTTTAGTACTGACACTTAAGATTATGAACCCACCTCCATGGCAGTAGACAATGATTGGGAGCTTCGAGTTTGGAGGAAGATTGCAAGGTTTGAAAATGCGAATGGAGGTGTTGGTTGTTGGGTTCAGAGGGATGTCTTTGGAGATAGCGATTTGGGTTGATTTTGAATCGTCACCGGTGGTGTTTTCCGGCGTTGGAGGGAGCTTTGGAAATTTTTCGATTCGATTGAATGAGCCATCTGGGTTTGGATAAAGTCCAACGGCCTGCAAGAAATCGATTGATGGCTTTGCTGTGGACGGTTGCTCAGCCATGGTTGATTGGAGAGAGAGAGAGACAATACGAAGTTGCAGTTCGTTGCAACCGAATATTTCCTTCAGATTGACGTATTTATATTGGATGCAATACTTTTCGGATATATAATTTTTTAATTAGAGTTTTAACATCTCTTTTCTCGAATTCAAACGTGAACAAAAATTTCATATAATTTAAAGGTACATGAGTTTTTTTAAGAATTATCTATAATTATATATCAAAAAATCATATAGTAAAACTATTATACTCATAAATATTAAGTAAATATTAGTTTTGATTCCTTTAGTTGGTCACTTCAATTTGCGACTATACCACAACGACACAATATATATTTTCTTAAAATTAAAAAAAATTATTAATTTTTTTTATTATATGTTAAAGAACAACTAAAATATATAAGTGTTAAATTGGTTGAAAATAATAAAAATATTAAATATATTTTATTATAATCGTATCCTAACCGTATCCATATTTTATTTTTTTAAACTTTATCGTATTATTATATTCGTATCCGTAATTCATAGATTAAAAGCATTCAAATCCCCAATCTACCTTTCATCAAATTGGTAAGAATTAACGGACCCACTCGAGGAGTGATAAGGTGGGAGTTCAATTTTTTTTTATTAAAAGTTAATTATTTAAATTTATTGCTTGCCTAAAATTTATTTATTTTTTTTTAATTTGGAGTTGTTTAGATCTAAAATGTGCAACAATGAAACTATAAATTTAATAATATCAATAATCCTAATAGTATCTAAATCCACTCTAATACGACTTTTTTTAGTAAATCAACTATAATTTATAAAAGGATATTATTTTTGTTAAATAAAATGACATTTTTTTAATAAAAAGCAACATTGTTTTGAAGAAGGACACATTTGGTGTATTATAGAGAAATGATTCACTGATCGAAAATCAAAATTCAAACTTTCAACATTAAAGTGAAAAGTTATTTCAGGGCCCCACTAGACCACCCCTATTGTAGGTGATATGAAACAATCCATGAAATTTCACGTGTAGTATGTCTAGCCAGCTGGTTTATTTATGAACAGACAGAAATACAATCCCACGTTCATTGCACCAAGACACTTTCCTAGGCCCCCACATTATCTACCATCCCCTACTATGTATGGATCACATTGACATCAAGAATCTTCTTATATATGATTGGAATTTGGATTATCAACTTCATCCCACATTCAAAACCGCAGTTTGAGGTTTACTAGTCCAAATGTATATTTGAATCATGGGTTAAAGGAAAATAGCTTTGATAGAATAGGATAAAAAATTTATGTGGGATTCATATCTCCCATATTTAATAAATAAAAAATGCATTGAAAATTCTATTCAAATTTTGTACTAGTCCGATTTAAAAAGTCAACTTTAACCAATATACATGAGTTAAATGAAACCCAAGAAAATACTAGAAATTTTTTTGTCAAACAAGATAACCGAATTGTCATACTCTCTTTCTCTCTCTCTCTCTCCCTCTCTCGCATATGCTTCATACAAATAACTTATTATGCAACAATATTTAGTTGTAGTGATTATAGATAAAAAGTGTTAAAAGTAAACACATTTTTGCATTTGCTTTGTACACATTTTTTTTGTAATTACATTTTTTTTTATTTTAAATCAGATTTATTGCCCCAATTTTTTTTAAAAAAAATGGGGTAATTGGGCCCATTTTTTTAGCAAAAACAGGGTCGTTGACTCTACTTTTAAAAAATATTATAGTTAATAAATAAGTTTAAAAATATTATAATTTAATATATTTATTTTTAAAAAACTATAATCTGATAAATAACTCCGGAGATTTTTGTGTGGCGAACTATAGAGCCAACTCCCTAACTACCTACATTGAAACCTTCTTTTTTTTTTTTATTGGAAAGACCTACATTGAAATCATTGCTGCCTTTTTTGGAATTTTAAGCTACGGCTACCTACCTAACAATGCAAGCCATAAATGCTTTGAAATTACTCACGGTTTTGAATTTTCCTCTCCTTCTCATTTACAAATCTATCCGCAGCATAAACTTGATCGGTCATTATATTTTAATATACTTTTTTGTCGATTTCACTTAAAATGAATTATTTATTAGGATATGACTATTCTCATCCTTAAAATCTCAAACTCCATCCCATTAAAATATAAAAAACAATTAATCCCCATTTTACACCCTCTTTCTATTTTCTCTCAAACCATAACCCTAACTTCCTTCGCTTTGCCCTTGAAAAATGATTAATATGGCAATCCAAAAGAGTACGGTGTGTTTGTTAGTAGTTTAAACCTAGAAAACCGGTGACAGGGCTATCGCAATGAATGTGGTTAGCGGTGTTGTTTTCCTGCAAGTCATTGTCATCCAACTTCCCCAGTTATCACCATCCAAATTATAATACAGTAATTGATAATATTTTATAAATATTTTAATATCCGTTAACACCGTCCCTCACGTGGAACCTAAACCGGCATATCAGTATTCAAATGAGTAAGAGACTTGGTCCACCGATATCATGCTGAAGTATCTAACCCNGGACATAGTATTCAAATGAGTAAGAGACTTGGTCCACCGATATCATGCTGAAGTATCTAACCCAAAGTGGTCTTCATTATTCAATATAAGATACAGACTCTCTACGCTCGAGTTACATAACAAATTGTGATCATACAAAAAAATTTCTCGTCATGTTTTAAAATAATTAAGTTTTTACAACACGACACGTAGTTAAATAGATTTAAGTAAAGTCTTAACGGATGGACCTGTTAGACTTGTTTAATAAATAAATCGTGTTCGAGTGAAATATATCAGCTCGTTTATCACCCGTTTAAATAAAATTACTATAAATATAATAATTATTCAAAAAAAACAGTCAAAATAATTAGATCAAACAAGTTATGAATAATTATTATGATAATAAAAATTTATTAAACGAATCATGTCGAATAACCTACTTAATAAATGAATCATATATGAGTTAAACAATTTTTTACACAAACTCAATTAGACACAATTCGAATCCACTACAAAATTTTCCGTTTATTTTGTCGTATCTGCATGGAATCTTCCATCTGTAAATTCGATGCCACTTTTCCCGGGGTGCATCCTTTTTGGCCGGTCATGAGACTAGGAAAGTTTAGAGACAATGTGATTTGGCCATTAGTGGAGTGATTCCTTAAGTATTTAAATCAATTTTAATGGTCTTAATTATTTAATATAGAATAAAAGCTCACTTAACACCCTCTCTCACATGTGACCCGAGCTCGTACAACCATGCATACCATTATTCAAATGGATAAAAGACTCAGTCCACTGATACCATGTTAGAGCATTTAACCAAAAACTAATTGACAATAAATAGAATTACGCTTCAAGTATACACACCGACTTTAGGGATCCTAATTATTCGATATAAGATACAAACTNAATAAAAGCTCACTTAACACCCTCTCTCACATGTGACCCGAGCTTGTACAACCATGCATACCATTATTCAAATGGATAAAAGACTCAGTCCACTGGTACCATGTTAGAGCATTTAACCAAAAACTAATTGACAATAAATAGAATTACACTTCAAGTATACACACCGACTTTAGGGATCCTAATTATTCGATATAAGATACAAACTCTCTACATCATAGGCTTGAGTTACATAAAAATGAATTATTTCAAAGCATAAGTCATAAAACCCTTGGAATTCCACCCATATTTTCTATTGATTAAGAGGGAGCCTAACAAACAAAACACCAAAATCAATGGTAAAACCTTAAATATCTCAGTAATTGGAATTATTAATATTTTAGAGGGTGCCAAGTAAAAATTGCATATAAATCAATGANAGCATAAGTCATAAAACCCTTGGAATTCCACCCATATTTTCTATTGATTTAGAGGGAGCCTAACAAACAAAACACCAAAATCAATGGTAAAACCTTAAATATCTCAGTAATTGGAATTATTAATATTTTAGAGGGTGCCAAGTAAAAATTGCATATAAATCAATGATAAAATCTCTAATTTTTGAGACCCATCCAGTATAACGGTGATAGCAGATTCAAACCGGTAACCTCCACTCCCTCAAAAATGGGGTTAACCATCTCGGATAGACCTGTAAATGTATGTGGTACATACTCCTCCCTGGCTCTACATCTAACCTCAATTTGCAGTAACTAAATCTAACTTCTTGCCAAATGATGTAATGACAGTTACCAAAGGAGAATGAAACATAGAATGCAATCTTAGATATTTCAGAATGATACACAGCTTAAACCAAGTTGAAAACAAATAATTATTTCATCAGTTTCCAAATCAGCGTAATAAAACAGATTGTAGAACCTAAAATCTAACTCACCTGATTCATCAATGGCTGTATGCAAGCACTACAGGGGCTTCGCACCACCGCCATTTTCTAGAGCAGAGGTCACCGGAGTTGTGGTGCCGCTCTTCTTTGCAGCGCTGGACTGCCCTGTGATGCTCCTGCCCATGAATTTTCCAGCTTTGCTCAGGCCGCTTCCAACAGCTCCAAAGCCGCTCCCGACAATCCCAACTCCAGCCCCAATGCCAGTTCCTACAAGCCCCACTCCGGAACCAATACCAGTACCAACCATCCCGACCCCAGAACCAACTAGAGATGCTGCACCATCAAGGGCATCCATTGTGCTCCCAATAACTCCTTCTGCCTTCAGTTTCTTTCTCTCTTCTAGAATCCTCTTCTCTTCCTCAAGAGCAGCCAGTTGTTCTTCCTTGTTAAATTCATGATAAAAAACCTGAAACTCGAAAATTTTCTTTGTTGAGAAACAAGCTTTGCACTTCTCTAAGCAGCAACATCAAGTGATACACGTTACTGAAGCATATAGAAAACATTCAACATAAAAGTAACTTGCGGAGGATTGTATATTGGACAAAAATAATCTGTGAATTCCCAAAGAAACAGAGATATAACAATGTTAATCATAAAAGGAAAACATCAAACAATGTAGTCGGAAAAGCATACCTTAATTGTAAGAGTTCCCCTATCCTTCTTATCTTTTATTTTGAGCATATCAAGTGATGGCATCAGTCTCAATTCAATATCTTTGGAAGTTTCAGCTTCCAGATCTATCAAGCGTAATTTTGCTATGCCCAATCGAGTGTCTTGCCCAATGTCTTTGTCGAAAACCTGTTTCCAGGAGGGAGGAGGTAGAGACAACAATATTTAGCAATTTCAGTTGTCTTTAAAGATCAATTGACGACATCTTTTCAAAGGAATATATCTCAACTCTATGTAGAAGAAATGGCCATTACAGTTAAACATAAACGAAGCTACATTTAAACTTAGAAAAAGATGGTCCACATGATTGCATTCTTTCATACAAGTCAGCAAAGAGCCACCTGCATTCCAAGCATTGGTGATCAACAACTTTTTCAATTTCCCGATAAGATTATCCTTAATGTCCCATGTCAGATTTGTTAAAAATACCACTACTACTTCAGAAATACCAGCAAAGGGAGAAAAGGACTCTAGAGATGGGAACAAGACTTTAAACCATGAGCTACCAAAAACCATAAGGCAGAATGAATATTGCCCATGAGGCCAACCATGACGCCTTTGTCAACAGTATAAAGCAAAACCTNCGACTCTAGAGATGGGAACAAGACTTTAAACCATGAGCTACCAAAAACCATAAGGCAGAACGAATATTGCCCATGAGGCCAACCATGACGCCTTTGTCAACAGTATAAAGCAAAACCTTTGTCAACTGTTGTTGAATTAAATAATAAAACTTCACAATTAAGTTTTTCAGAATATTTGACGTTCTGGTGGCTTGGGCAAAAAGTTACCTTCTCACTATGATCATAACGTCAGTAACAACAATTAATACTGTGGTCATTACAAATATTTGAATCAAGTAATTTGTCAACTAAAGTTATACAAACATCTGAATGACTTTCACACCATATGCATACTTCTAAAAAAATTGTCTAGTAGTGCTAAGACCTTTCCTAGTCCAATCATTTTACAATACCTAAATCAATTCACATATTCTCAGCAAATATATATCTCCAGGAAATTTTTTACTTCCAGGGAACCTGATTTATTAAACAAAATCAGTGAACCATTCGCACGCAAGCCATTGCTTCAACCTTCCTTCAGCCTCCCTCAACTTTTAGCTACAGATCATACAAGAACTACTTTCTTGAGGAAGCAGCAACAAATCATGCTAAGGATATTAAGTAACTTCTAGATTTTTGTTATACAATAAAACCATCATTATACCATGGCTCTATGTACTGCATTGCTTGTAGAGGATTAAGTACTTACTATCATGTTTAGATATTTACACAAAACTAAAGTTTTTTGGGTCTTTCTCACCCTACTAACAAAAATAACCCAGAAAAAGAAAACCTAAAATGTCATATATGAAGACACAATAATTTTAGTGACGCTGTGAACAGAAAGTACCACACTCGCACTCTGAAGGAGAGAAGGTCAAGCTAACATGAAGAAAGGAAATAGAAATCAAACCTCGAATATAAGAGCCTGTGTCTCCTTGTCTTCTGCAATCAACTCAAAGGTTTGATTCCAAACAGGATTTAAATTGTTATCAACAACCTTGGATTTAACCTTGAACAGTGGTCGAATATACAGAACCACGTAAGGATCAGATTTCCCAATAATTTCCATGTTCTTCAAGTCATTTGCCTTCACTACAGTCACTGTGAGCTTCCCCTGGGGTTTAAGCTCTAATTCACTGCATAAAACAGAGAAGAAAAAAAACAAGAATCAAACCCCATAAACAGGGATAAAAAAACCTAGGAATGTATGGACAGGACGTTCCAGATTGAAAACATATCTAATCCAAAGGTATTCAAATATTTATACATGTTCCAGTCCGGTTAAAGTGATAAACAGTACAATATGGCTACTATTTCCATTATGTGCATCTTCCTTAATGTCTATCCAGCATTGAACCAAAGACGCCAAGGTTGAAAGACAAAATGGAACCCAAAAACAATAAGTGCCAGAATCGTGCACGAGGAAACCTAAAATTGGTTGGATTAAGCATTTTCCCACTCGATAGTCAGTAAAAATGTCTCTTTTCAACCCCTTTCCTGCTATTACAGAAGTGAAATTAGAGGTTAAAGCTAAAGCATTTGGTATCAACGATATCATTGTCAACATACAACAAAGTGCATAGAAACTTGGTCATTACAACAAATTATCAAAGCATAATAAAATACATCATGGAATGCCAACTTTGCACGTCTCCCGGAGTGTAGTTAAATAAGTTTTTAATGGCAGGCAGAAGATCAGTTGGGATTCGGAAGAAAATCCATGTGCCTTCAGGATAATAGGAAAGAAGTTAGGGCCACGTATAAGTCCCACCCCCACCCTTTTCATTGGGAAGTGCAAAGTAGAAGTGCCTCAGGGTGGTACTAATTACATGTATGCAAGCAAGCACATTTGCATAATGTTTGATATTTAAGAACACACATTTCTCAAATTGAAATTGAAGAGGAACCACCCTCATAGAATACAAAAGAAGACCTCCATTTTGACAGCGGCATTTATGTTAACCTGATAACATGACATTCCTCACGAGCCACAAACCATCTTTGCATCCTCTGGTAAAAGATTGCCAATTTTCTGATTGCCCATCCATATATGATTCATTTTCAGTTAAAAATTGTGATCTCTTTGTCAAAGCCATGCATTCAATATGAACCAAATGCTTTTGCAAAGAGTAAACACATTTGATAGTCACTATGTCAGCATAAAAATTTAACATCTGCATTATAGCATGAGTTGAAACAATAAAAATTACAGAGCAAACAAAACAAGAAGTCTCAGGCAAAAGAAAGATAAAGAAAAAAACATCATCTTACGTTGTATCCACAGGTATACCACCAATTGGAACAACGATCCTGTGAGGCCATTGGAGCATATCTGTAACAATTGAATCCACAGTATCCTACCCAAAGCGATGCATAACAAACTCAGCCTCTATAGCAGCAAAAATATTAAAAACATAGCACTGGATACATCTTTGACGTTATAATAAAAACTTACATCAATCATANTCAACATACAACAAAGTGCATAGAAACTTGGTCATTACAACAAATTATCTAAGCATAATAAAATACATCATGGAATGCCAACTTTGCATGTCTCCCGGAGTGTAGTTAAATAAGTTTTTAATGGCAGGCAGAAGATCAGTTGGGATTCGGAAGAAAATCCATGTGCCTTCAGGATAATAGGAAAGAAGTTAGGGCCACGTATAAGTCCCACCCCCACCCTTTTCATTGGGAAGTGCAAAGTAGAAGTGCCTCAGGGTGGTACTAATTACATGTATGCAAGCAAGCACATTTGCATAATGTTTGATATTTAAGAACACACATTTCTCAAATTGAAATTGAAGAGGAACCACCCTCATAGAATACAAAAGAAGACCTCCATTTTGACAGCGGCATTTATGTTAACCTGATAACATGACATTCCTCACGAGCCACAAACCATCTTTGCATCCTCTGGTAAAAGATTGCCAATTTTCTGATTGCCCATCCATATATGATTCATTTTCAGTTAAAAATTGTGATCTCTTTGTCAAAGCCATGCATTCAATATGAACCAAATGCTTTTGCAAAGAGTAAACACATTTGATAGTCACTATGTCAGCATAAAAATTTAACATCTGCATTATAGCATGAGTTGAAACAATAAAAATTACAGAGCAAACAAAACAAGAAGTCTCAGGCAAAAGAAAGATAAAGAAAAAAACATCATCTTACGTTGTATCCACAGGTATACCACCAATTGGAACAACGATCCTGTGAGGCCATTGGAGCATATCTGTAACAATTGAATCCACAGTATCCTACCCAAAGCGATGCATAACAAACTCAGCCTCTATAGCAGCAAAAATATTAAAAACATAGCACTGGATACATCTTTGACGTTATAATAAAAACTTACATCAATCATATCTGACAATCCAGGAATGGCTGTCAAACTTCCACCAACTGCTTTCAGAGTATAATCAATTCTTGGTTTTGGCTGATTGACCACACGAGTATTAGTCTTTCTATAACAGCTGGATGTAGTCAAAGATTTAAGAAGATGGAGATTTTGAAACAGTAACTTCTATCAGGGAGGCAAATCTTCAAAAGATTTCATTAAAACCACAGGAAAAGTTAGATAGCAAAATTATTTGTTTTGCAGTGGGGGGAAATATTTTGCATAGAGTTAAGGAATGATCTGTTAGTCACTCTTAACTTGTTAGTTCAATCTCATGATGGCTTATTGTACCAATTTTATGGATAATGACAATGCATACGAGAACTAGAACCACTGTTCGATGGAACTTTGCAAACTAAAATGTCAGACAATTATGGCTTCTGGAGAAATACACAACGTAATCAGAAGTTCCAAGAGATCAAACAATCTATACAATACAAAGCATAAATGGAAATCTACCAATTGTCAAGACAGTGTGTTCCACTTATTATAACAGTCAAATCAAGTTCTATGGTGTTCCCTTACGAGAGATAATATAGAAGCATCCATGTCCCAACTAGTACTTGAACCAGAAACTTCTCCATTTTGGCTCACAAGAGGTATCACTCAAGCTGACAGCTGGTGATTCATGGTTGTTTTCCTGTGCTCGTATTAAGGTTTTGTCCAGTCTTACATAATCCTCTCTCTTATATTTCTTTCTTTTAATACCTGCACTTTTAGTTGTTATAGACCACATAACAGGGTCCTTACACACGGTTCTACTCAACTCCACAATTCCTTTACAGAAACCTAACCACGTTCAAGTACTTAAACTATATACGGATCTCCCATATATGCAAACTTGAGCTTGATTTGACTTCAGAATCACAGTGAAATGGTAAATAAATCATCCTCTCCAGGATGAATAAGACAAAACTCATCACCTTCACATTACACTCAGCTTTCCATGAGTATTTCATTGTTACACCTAACATGTAGGTTACATTTATGCAAAATCATTATCATTGAACAGTACTATACTACTCACAACCTAAATTAATGTTTAGCTGCCCTTGAAATCTAACAATTCCTATAGCTGGTTAGAAATCATGACCCCCTCTATGTTACACACACATATATATATATGTAGATATAGAAGCTTAAATTGCACCTCAGAGAGTAGGGCGACGACGACGGCAGAAATACAAGGAATCTCCTCAGCAAGTTGGAAGATAACACGAACAACAGTGAAAACTTGAAGATCCTTCAACTGCATACAATAACACCATAACACATTCCAATCAATATGGTCCTAAATGTTATGTAAGGAACAATAGATAATGGTCCTCAACGCTATGATTTCCAGCAGAAAACAATGTCAAATAATGCTGAAATCTAAAGCAATAATTCAACAAACAGAGTGGAAAATTACTCAAAAAGTAGACTGATAAGCAGTTGATGCACCAACCTGAATGGGTATAGAAGCAACAAGTGCAGCTTCAACACCTAAAATGATGTTTGGATCACCACCCCATCGGAAGTCAATATCCATTGTGATTTGACCTTTCTTAAGGCTCTGAACACGGATTCCTGCAACAATTAAGTATTTTGCACATGCAAAAGACTGAAGTATAAGCATGCAATGACTCAGTGAAAATGTGCCAATGCATGCTCAAATTGTGCAAAGGCATATACGGATACATTGACAGAATGACAATATACACTTACATATCTGATAGCTGTTGGCTTATGCTGTTCAGACACTTGGACTTGTATACTACTACATATAACTTCCTCTTGAAAAGCTTGATGCAGCTTAACCCAAGAATAGACCATCCAAAAAACTTTTTCCTAGCCTCCTAGTCCTACGTTACTTTGGTTGACTTGCCTTACCAGTTATCAAATCTTGGTCAAAGTTCAGTAGGTTCGAGCCTAGGCTGGCATCAATCAAACCAACCCAAACAATTTTCAAGCTCAAGGATGAAAAAGAATACCAGAAACCGGCCAAAAAACATATATCAAATTCATTTTTCAAAAAATTAGTCCAAATTGACATGTAATCTAATATACAATTAGCAACTGTCCACATAAGCAATGTACAAATTTTCTAAAGGACTGCCATTCAGAAACTAGGGAAGTGGACACAAGGCACAATACAATTTCCTAACATATTATGGACAAATCATCTGTGAAATATTCAAAGGCGGGTCTATTGGTAAAACCTGCTCAGTCAATGATGGAACAAAAACATTACAAGTAACCCTTTTCCCATACAACAACGGTACACAACAAGCACCAGCATTCAATTTGGTCATCGAATGATGTTATGTACGAAGGAACAGAAGAAGCCAGGCGTTTTTGTTTTTCGTTGTGCAATATTATTACTGTCATTACCTCAAAATGGAATCTACATTGAAAGGGCTTGACTAAACATCACACTGAAGTGTTTAAAAAAATAACATAGAAACAAAACAGACACAAGGCATTTTTATCGGACAACCCACTCAATATCCAAGAGAGGGTAGAGATTCAAATAAAACACCATCTCAGAGCACTTGCTAAATCACATGCTACAACCAAACTAGAACTAACCATGCTGAATAGATTTTTTTAGCAAAAAAATCTACAAGAAGAAAACAAGAATATTTGATTGAAATGAATTAGTCATGTAAACGAATGCCCTTAAAAATGAATGCAGGAAGGAAAGAAAGGGGAAAGAGCTTGAAGAATATGGACTACCTTCGATTTTGGGTGCAACATTTCCAAGAGACAGTTTATTGAACTTCAATGAAGTAATTCCTGGAGGTCGATATTCTTCCAATAAAGGTTCAACAGATTCTTTTATCACCATTTGTGCTGCCTGAGTGAACAGATTCAACCTATATTAGACTAGAAATTTCAAAACAAGCATGGCCTGATGGCAGCCTAAACAAAAATCGCAGGGCTTAGTCATGAATCATGATGACACAATCAGAATGTTGACGATCTAATCAGATGTCAGATGATGTGACAAGAACTGGGCTATGAGAGAATTTTGAATTCTATCGTCCTTTGTTTTAACCAACATGCAAAAGTAACTGGTCCATCTCTTGAGCAATGTATTTGGGATGAAGTCCAGTTGTTACCATAGCAGGCCAAATGAGGTTTAGCAGATCATATATCCAGATGAGTTTGTTGCAAGAAAGTCGAGTAGTTTTTCCCTTCAAAATTCTGTCAGATAAATTATTTTCAACCCCCTCCCCCCACCAAAAAAAAAAAAACACAAAAAAAACCAAACAAAAAGATAAGAAAAGAAATTAAAGCACAATGCAGGATTGTTATGGATACTTCTACATACATTTAAATGCAAGAGAAGGAGAAAAACAAAAAAGAGGCGCGAGATATTGTTTTTCACCTAGCCACGAAAATGTAAAGTGCAAGGAGGCAGCAGCATGGAAGATAGAAGAATCATTTGAATCAAAAATGCACTTCGGACAACAATACAAATAAAGAACCCCAAAAAAAACAAGATAAATTGAAGGATCATATGGAAAGCCAAATGTTACCCAATAACAGAAACACACAAAGTGGCACCTTATCCACCTCAAACTAAATTCCCAAATGTCTATGGTCTTCCAAATGCACATGATACTCAAATATGTAAAGAAAAAAAGCACAAATGCAACAAACAGTACAACCTCGCTAACAATCAAGCACACTTAAAGATCAACTGTCCCTGTTAATAACGAAGTATTCTTAAAGCATAAGCTGTTAAAGGTGAAGATAAAGCTATGTTTCAATAACCCCCCTTAGGCATGGCCCCTCGTGCAAATACCACCTATATTGTGTGAAATTTTATGTACCACAGTAGAGGCAGTGGCAGAACAGCATATTAACAAGTGACTGCTCTAATTGCTTAATTTGTCAACCAGAAACTTACTAATATGCATACCCATTAACATATAGCTCGTTGAAGCATCAATCTCTAAAACCAGTTTAGTCCCAAGGCAAGTAGACATTAATATTAATATTTGCTTTTACTCACAAAAGTGATGACATCTTTGTATGAATAAATACAAAAGTTAGTATTAGATATAGATATAATTTTATATATATATGAACATAAGCATACTGCACGCATATGGGAAATCTCTAAAGTTAATCATCTGACTAGTAACATAAAAACTCCCCAGAAAATGAATTAGTACTTCCACTATATCAACACATTCTCCTTTGACTTCAACTTGGATGTGTTTGCTTATACCGTGGTTTCCTTAGTTATCAAGCAATTCAATGGTGACGTAGGACCAATTCTATTGTGGCAGTTACTTAAAACAGGCACTACAACAGTGAATGTCCTTAGTCGCATCAGATCAACAAAATAGCAAAAGACAACTTGCAAAAAGAACTTGTTGTAAATAAGAGTACTCTTGGTAAATAGTTTGGACACTTTGAGTAAGCTCGTCTTCTCATAATCGACATATATAACAGAACAACAGGGGCAATTCAAGAACATTTAAAAAGGATTCTCATTTTATCTTCTTCAATAACCATTTGGCATTTAACACCCTACTACTTGTCAGCCACTTCATCTTTATTCTCTTTGAGAAACTTGGGTTTCAACTATAATCAATACATTTTTTTCGTTGCAGCATGTACCGCATGCACTCGTTCCCAACTGGGGAAGTTGAAAGCCTTGCCACCTCCCCACTTTGGGATACCAGAAGAAGACAAATATACCACCCAAGAAAAGAGAGAAGAAAAAGACGACGATAGTAGCTAAAAATGATTACAATAAGGAAAGAAAGAAAAGAAACAAGACCAGAAGAGGAAAACGAGGATACCACCCAAGATAACTCCTGTGATAATGATCAAATACATATCCACCATCTTGCAATGCCCAAGAGCCACTCATGCATAATTTTTAAAAGAGAATTTGATGGGATGTGCTTTCACAACTCTTATACATTCCATTCATGTTTTCTTCCAAAAACAATAGTACAACTTTAATTTACCATAAAGTTCCAATGAGCTATAGTTTTTTATCATGTCTTTAGAGGTGTTTTGACATTTTAATGTGTTAAATGAACTAAAATGACTACATTATATGAAAGACGTATCAAGAAATGTTTTCTTGTATTAAAAAATCTGAAACTGCTGAATTGCTGAGTGCTATACATATATCAATCAAACCAAGAACTTGTGGGAATGTGATAGGGTGTGTAAGGCAAGGGGATGAGGAAATAAAAGCAAAATCAAGGTTTGAATTGCTTAGACATTGTAATCTCAAAAGACCAAACAGAAAACATTTCACCTCATCACCCGCTAGTTTATAATGGTTTGTTTTGTAGGAGAGATGGAATATTTGAGGGATAGAATGTTGGAGGGATAGAAAAATATGAGGGATAGGTTTTTCATCTTTGAAGAAAGGAAAGAAATTTTTCATGGTAAGAGGGATAAAAAAGGGGAAGGAATATAATTTTTATTATTTTATTTGGTATGAAAAAAAAATAATAGAATATTATTACTAGTGAAATATCAAAAATACCCTTAATAGAATATGAATAATCTATTAAGAGATGAGTTCCTTAAAGTAAATGGTAATTAAACATTCCATAAAAGCTATGAGACCTATCTTGACCAACTTGTCGGGCATTGCTGTCATTTTCTGCCCAAAAATGGAGGGATCAAAAATGGTGGGCAGCATGGATTGCTTTTCCCTCCATCTTTCCTTTCTAACCAAACAAAGGAAAATTATATATTCCATCCTACTTTCCGTCCACGATTTTCCATCCATCCTATTTTCACTCATAATAAACAGGCCATAAGAGTACAGTAGCTGATAAAAGCATGTATCTTATTATAGCTTATTATATTGAAGGGTTTTAAACAAAACTAGCAGAGAAGCTTACATCTGCAATAAATGGCCACAGTTTGCTCAATTGTTTGTTCAGCCATTTCACCTGAAAGAGCAAGCCAGGTAACAAAAGATGAATATAAAAGCACCATGATCAACAATATGAATACCACCACAAAACAATCCCATGTAATGACCATTTGCTACATTACATAATATCTTCAAAGTTTAAAACATCATGTTTTGGCACTTGTGCTACCAAATAAAATGGATGACTAATGCAAGCTTATAACAATTTGGTCAACCAATTTCACCAGATGTCAAAATTTATCATGGAATTGCCAAATGCCAATTATAATCTGACGTACTTCATGTTCATGATTGCAAAAATATTGATGGTAACCTGAAGCAATAAATAACTCCTGAAGGGTAATATGATAGACAAAAGTAGAAGTCCAGCTGAACAATAATAAAATATGCTAACCTGTTCATAAACAGGGAAGGATATCCATTCAGGAAAATTGTCTCCACAAATTTTCTTCAAATCATCTCTGCTGAGGGACCCAAGAAGTTTTATATCAACTGCCTGTAGGAGAAATAAAATATTCTGAATGGCCTAATAATGGTCGAAAGTCATTGGGAAAATGATTGATGTCTAGATAACTTGAAACAAAAAAAAAATTATACTCCAGAATCAAGGAATGAGTGTGATTTCAATCTGACTTGTGGTATGCTAAGAACAATTGAGTTGTACAAAATATTCAATGACCAAAAATCCCATGGATATAGAGATATGCCAAAAACATCTAGCAGCCCTCAGGTAACATGGACTGACAAAAAAAAATATGAACCAGGACTGAATTCTGTAAGAACTGTGTTTTGTGTACGCCTTTGTGAAGAACAGCTATTACCAAGGCAGTGTTTAAATGCGAAGGCAACCCACATATTCTCGATTCTCTTCACTAGTTAAACATTTTTAGTTGAAATTGTCTAGCCATACATAATCTTCTTTACAAAGAAATAAAAAGATATATGATATTGTAAATTGGATATAATATGCAAGTATGCATGCACAGTAAATTAGAGGTCAAATGAAAGCCTCCAAGACTGAGGAATTGAAACCAAGGAGTAAAATTGGACGGGAATGCAACTTATGTCGGGGAGAAAGTGAAAATAAGGCTGCTTATGTGATAAGCGCAATAAGTATGAAGGCGAGAAGAAGCATATTGTGTGATCAATGTTGTCCTATGAAGCTACTAAGGGAATTGCATAAAAAAAATTATCAAACCAGCGATGGTATGCGGATAGAACAATAGGCATCTAAGAAACATGTTTATAATGAGTAAGGGAATATAATGCAGTTTTACAAACAGTCAAGCTAATTCTCAACTGATTCTCTGACATTCTTTTGATATTTATAGCATAAGGCATGTCACAACAGGTTTACTAAAATTCATGGAGCTGTAATTACACCGGAAGTTTCCTAAATCAGATTTTTGAGCTCACAACAACTAGTGCTGCCCATAAGACATGCACCTGATATTAAAATCATTTCCTTGTTGGAACAAACTCTATCCCTGAGACCTTACCGAAACATAGAGGGCCAAAGAGAACATGCTTCTCATCCTGGAAAATTTGATGGGTTCTAGACTGTATAAGGTTTAGGGCAGGATGAAGGTGGCCCAAAGCTAACACCAAATCAAAGTAATCTGAAAATCTTCACACAACTCAAAGTCAACTCATTCGGCGCTATACCATTGTCCATCCCAACCTATCTTGTTGATAATCGTTCACTACACTTCAGAGTTTAGACCTTTGTTTCATCCATCATGTCCGTATTTCAGGCTCAATGAAGAAAAACAACAAATATAATTCGAGCCTAAGATTCTAAAAACCCATTAATTCAATTTAGAAAAATGAAAGACTTCATTGCACTAGTGATTATTTGAATCAACAAAATCACTAGGGAAGGCAGCAGAGAGAATAAGTTTAACACAACACATCTTGACGACTAACTGAATCAAAATTTACAGTAGCCACATCAAACTTTTTTCCGCTAGCTATCCCAATTTCTAAAATATAACAAAACATACGATAATTCTATCCGAACAGAAAAGCCAAAAATATATAAAATTAACCAACACAGACACCAACTTTTCATAAATAAACGAAAATTCGATAAAACTAAGAACAATAACATGGTAAATTGCAAAAAAAAAAACACTGTACCTTTGCAACACGCTTATTGCTTCGGTATGTCATCATATGTTTCCAACCAGCCATCAATGCGATCCCGACGACCGTCCCCATAAAAATTCCCGACATCAACCCCATTTTATTCGACTTTGGCCTAATTTTCCTGAGAAAAATTCAAATCAACAACAAAAAGTAAATCAAAGCCCAATCAATCCTTGCAATAATATACAGAGCGAGCGAGAGAGAGAGTGATTACACTGGATTTGAAGATTAAACTAAGGCAGAGAAATGACCTATGACAGATGGTAAATAGATTAAACACTCAACCGTTACCTGACCCTCACTCTCCTGTCTCTCTCTCTCTCTCTCTCTCTCAACGTAGTTCTTGGCATTCCCTCCACAAGATTTGTGTCAAAAGCTAAGGACGTATTATTAAAGTCGGTAGGCCAACAGGGCGGAGCATCACCTACATTGAATTTCCAGATTTTGTCCGTTTCTTTTATAAGTTTGGTTTTTATTTACAGTTTGTGCCCCTGAGTTTGGTTAAATAGTACTGATTCTCTATCCATTTACGGAGTACTCCGATGATCAGGATGTGTTTTTTCGGTGGGTGGATGACCATTATCTTTAGAAAATAGATTCCCACTGCTGAGATACTTTTCTGCGGGAATAGGCAACATGCGGGCCGGGGCCCACCCATCTGCCCTTAGATTTTCTTATTTACAACTGTTTGAAACTATTATAGGAAAGAGAGTCGATAAAGTTTGAACCCCAATTGCCAAGGTATTAAATTACTGTTTACCTTCGTCTTAAAACTGATTAGGTAGGTTGGGTTGGATTGAATTGGCTTATCCAATAGTCTTTACATAGAATAATGACAACTATAAAACCATGGTATAGTGGTATGACCTAGCACCGTAAGTGTTATCACCTGGCAATATAATGGTATGACCTAGCACCGTAAGTGTTATCACCTAGCAATGACGGGTGAAAAAACAATNATAAGTGTTATCACCTGGCAATATAGTGGTATGACCTAGCATCATAAGTGTTATCACCTAGCAATGACGGGTGAAAATAAATTCATTGGAAGTTAAAGATTATTTATTCATTTCGACATTGTTTTTTTGTCAAACATTATTATAGGGATGAAACAACAATAGTCGAATTCGCGATCTTAAAATTCAATAACGAAAATTGTGACCATTAATGTAATTGAGAGAATACTCTTACATATGCTAAACGAAAGATGAATAANATGTTTCCAACCAGCCATCAATGCGATCCCGACGACCGTCCCCATGAAAATTCCCGACATCAACCCCATTTTATTCGACTTTGGCCTAATTTTCCTGAGAAAAATTCAAATCAACAACAAAAAGTAAATCAAAGCCCAATCAATCCTTGCAATAATATACAGAGCGAGCGAGAGAGAGAGTGATTACACTGGATTTGAAGATTAAACTAAGGCAGAGAAATGACCTATGACAGATGGTAAATAGATTAAACACTCAACCGTTACCTGACCCTCACTCTCCTGTCTCTCTCTCTCTCTCTCTCAACGTAGTTCTTGGCATTCCCTCCACAAGATTTGTGTCAAAAGTTAAGGACGTATTATTAAAGTCGGTAGGCCAACAGGGCGGAGCATCACCTACATTGAATTTCCAGATTTTGTCCGTTTCTTTTATAAGTTTGGTTTTTATTTACAGTTTGTGCCCCTGANTCTCAACGTAGTTCTTGGCATTCCCTCCACAAGATTTGTGTCAAAAGCTAAGGACGTATTATTAAAGTCGGTAGGCCAACAGGGCGGAGCATCACCTACATTGAATTTCCAGATTTTGTCCGTTTCTTTTATAAGTTTGGTTTTTATTTACAGTTTGTGCCCCTGAGTTTGGTTAAATAGTACTGATTCTCTATCCATTTACGGAGTACTCCGATGATCAGGATGTGTTTTTTCGGTGGGTGGATGACCATTATCTTTAGAAAATAGATTCCCACTGCTGAGATACTTTTCTGCGGGAATAGGCAACATGCGGGCCGGGGCCCACCCATCTGCCCTTAGATTTTCTTATTTACAACTGTTTGAAACTATTATAGGAAAGAGAGTCGATAAAGTTTGAACCCCAATTGCCAAGGTATTAAATTACTGTTTACCTTCGTCTTAAAACTGATTAGGTAGGTTGGGTTGGATTGAATTGGCTTATCCAATAGTCTTTACATAGAATAATGACAACTATAAAACCATGGTATAGTGGTATGACCTAGCACCGTAAGTGTTATCACCTGGCAATATAATGGTATGACCTAGCACCGTAAGTGTTATCACCTAGCAATGACGGGTGAAAAAACAATTCATTGGAAGTTAAAGATTATTTATTCATTTCGACATTGTTTTTTTGTCAAACATTATTATAGGGACGAAACAACAATAGTCGAATTCGCGATCTTAAAATTCAATAACGAAAATATTGACCATTAATGTAATTGAGAGAATACTCTTACATATGCTAAACGAAAGATGAATAAATAGATGCAAATGTGTATTTCAAAACGTGTGAAGTGTGACTCAAAGGTGTGAGAAAATTAAACACAAAATAATAAAAAAAA